GGGGGGGGGCCGCCCTTGCTGGGTCACATGCCCACTCGTCCCTCACCCCGCCCCTCCAGAGTCAGGGGCAGCGCCCCAGGCAGTACCGACCTGGGGGGCGGGCTCACCAATGCCCTGCTAACGCGCTTTCTTCTCCGTCTTCTTCTGCAGGGGTTCTCCCTCCACAGGCACCACTCCCACCCAGTTCAAGGCTGTGAGCCCGGCAAGCTTAGACACCAGCAGCCAGGGCTGAGATCTTACCCGAATAGTTTCCAGCTCCAGCAAATAGAGTTTCTCAGGGGGCGGCTCCCTGCCGTGCCCCTCACTGGAAAGCAGACCCCTTCGCTGCCACCGTTCGCCCCTGCGCTCTGGCCGCGGCTTCCAGGGCCACCTGCCAGAAGCAGGGGACTGGAGGCCTGGGGTCTCCCCAGGGGCGTGCCTCCCAGAAGTCAGGTGCTCCAGAGAGGGTCCTGGTGTCCTGCCCCACGTGGCAGGGCTTTGCCGAGGAGAGGCGTCGACAGGCTTTCCTCACGTTTCCAGGACCTGGGTATCAGCCAGGGCCAGGAACGGACGGTCTTAGAGCTTTTGCGGGAGCTGGGGGAAGGGAAGGCGGCCACAGCACATGATCTGGCTGGGAAGCTCGGAGTCCCAAAGAAGGAAGTCAATCGAGTCTTATATTCCCTGGCAAAGAAGGGTAAGCTCCATCAGGAGGCGGGAACGCCCCCCTTGTGGAGAATCGCCCCCGCGGTTCAGGCCTGGAACCCGCGTAGCCAAGTAGCCGACGCAGACCGTGCTCGCCAGGACGCTGGGAACCCGGACCCGGGTTTGGACCCTGAAGACCGGAGCTCCGAGTCTGAGTCGGAAGCCGCTCCTGAGCCTTCGGACATGGCTGAGATCAAAGAGAAGATCTGCAGCTACCTGTTCAACGTGTGCAACGCCTCTGCCCTGAACTTGGCCAAAAACATCGGCCTCAGCAAGGCCCGAGACGTCAGTGCCGTGCTGATCGACTTGGAACGGCAGGGGGACGTGTGCCGGCAGGGGACGACCCCCCCGGTGTGGTACCTGACTGACAGGAAGCGCGAGCGGATGCAGATAAAGAGAGACCCGGACGGCGCGCCCGAGGCCGGTCCGGCTGCCGTCCCTGAGGCCAAGGGAGACGTGGCGCTCCCGCCCCGCGACGCGGCCGTGCCCCACGCCGCGGACGACGCGGTGGCCATAGAAGACGCGGAGAATGGCCGGGAACCTGCCGCAAAGCTGGAGGGCAGGCGGGAGGCCGCGCCGGAGCCGGCGAAGCCAAAGCCGCCCGCTCAGGACAACGGCCCCTCGAAGACAGGGTACGTGGACTTTGAAAACGGCCAGTGGGCCACGGACGACATCCCAGATGACTTGAACAGCATCCACGCAGCCCCAGGTGAGTTTCGAGCCATCATGGAGATGCCCTCCTTCTACAGTCACGGCTGGCCGCGGTGCTCGCCCTACAAGAAGCTGGCGGAGTGCCAGCTGAAGAACCCCGTCAGCGGGCTGCTGGAGTACGCCCAGTTCGCCGCTCAGCCCTGCGAGTTCCACCTGCTGGAGCAGAGCGGGCCGCCCCACGAGCCCCGGTAAGAGCCCGCCCGCGGCCGCGCCGCCTGCCTCGCCTGGCCCCCCCTCCCCCCTCGGTGTCTCTGCCTTTGGGCTAAACCGCCCGCGTCGGCCCCTCCTGCAGATGTAGAGCAGGGAGTCAGCCAGAGTCCCGGCCGAGCGAGGGGCGGGCTGGGCCTTTGGCTGGGACGCAGCCTCTCGGGACAGGGCCGGCTCTCGTGCCTCAGTGTGGTGCCCGCATCCCCGCGGGCTACAGGTGATGGAGACGACTCCCCGCCCCTTCCGTGTGCCTTCCCCCCCTTTCCAGAGAGGCACGGGACGGGTGAGCTGGGCCAGGCAGTAGCTTCAGGTCCCGACCCCCCCCACCCCCCCCCCCCCCCC